ATTATAATTACCTGAGCCTAAAATTATCTCTAATTTACACAAAAATGTGAAAAGTTTTTGCACTGACTTTTCTAGCAAGAAATCAGTGCTAGTTGTTTATTTTGCTGGTATCTGAGTGACCAAACAATACAGCTGAATTAGTCAGACTTTGCAGCTGTCACATTCAAGGTGAGTCTGTGTAGGTGCAAGCAATGGGCTACTTCATTGAGATTTCTAAAATATTTGCATATTTGATAAAAATTATTTTTAATCACTTTCTCTTTTATATTAATTAGAGTATTGACTTTCTTTAAAGAACAAATGTGCAGATAAGATACCCGTGAACTTCATTTCAGGATAGTAAATGGGTATTAACAATATTTGTTCTAAAAAGAAAATATTGGTTGTGAAAGGGTCGAGAGCTACTCACACAAGATATTCACATGAAAAGCCTTTCTGTAGCCTTTGTAAAAATGCTGTTCTAGATACTGTTACATATAAGATTTCTAGCCAGTGCCTGAATAAAGCGTGATAAATTTCTCTTGTAGTTCAGTGTTAGGAAGATTGGCTCGTGACTATCTGTTATAGGTACTTCCTTTTATTAGACAATAACAGGTGTGGGATTCATGTGTACCCTTTTTGTATTCACTGCCAGGAAGCTCACAGTTAAGTTTTGGTGCTCATTTGCAGTGATTACCCCTAGCCCAGCATTTTGGGAACAATTATTTCTTTTCCAACTTGATTTCATTATGGGGCTCTTTAATCATTCTTTAAATAATTACTTGTATCTATGTCTCTTATTATCTTTAAATCTTTCCTGGAAGTAAGGGGAGAACAATTAGTGTAAAACTCAAAATCATACCTGCAGTTGCCTTCTTAATGCTTCCTGAGTCTGGAAGTCTAAGTCAGAGGTGCCTGGAAAGCCTAAGGCAGAGCTCAGGTGGTTTTGTTCTGCAGACTCCATCTCTCTGATACCTCTGCCTCTTCCCCTTCAAAAGCCCTCACCCCTCCACTCCAGATGGGCTGTGGGCATTTTATGGGGTAAAATCAGGCTCAAGCTGTCAGGGCCCACTCCAGGTCTTGGCTGGATTGTGGTGGTCAAGGGTCAGGGAAGGCACCCCGGCTCCAGGATTAGAGAAGCCCAAAGCTCCAACTGGAGAGACTCTCTTCACACACACTCCCCTAGCATCTTGTCTGAAGCCCTCAGAGCAGAAGCTTTGAAGCTCAAGCTGGGACATGCGACTGACCCCTTTCTGAACCCTGGGTCCACTGGCTCTCATCCTAGGCAAGAGACTTCTCTGAGCTTCAGTTTCCAGAAATGAGAACAATACCTACCTGAAAGGGCTGTTGTAAAGACTCACTGAGATAACCTGCAAGGTGCCAAGGCAGTGCTTAGAACATAGCCAGTGCTCAGAAGCTGGCAGTAGCTGCTCATCCCATTCCGCCTGAACTGGTATCACTCATAGGCCCATCTCCGCCCCCTGCAGTGAGCTCCTGGAGGCAAGACTGTGCATTAAATCACAGCTCCTCACTCAGAAACTCAGTGACTGTGGCAAATTGCTTAACCTCTCTGAGCCTCAGCATTCTTACAATAAAGTGGGAATAATAAAATATAACTCAAATTTGTGATGTGAGTAAAATTCTTAACAGTGGTTATATTTAGGTAAGGCTATTATGAAAATTTTATTTTAGGTTATTTTTACTCTTGTGAGCATTTTCTGTGCTTTTCTATAACCAATATGAATTATTTATGTACTTTAAGTCACTTTTCAAAATGTACTTTTTCTAAAATAAATATTTAAATTTATTGAGTGCCTGCTACATTTTAGGCATCACGCTGAGCACCTTACATATATTATCTCATTGAATTCTTACCACAGTCCCCTGAGGAAGACAGTATTTTCACCCCTATTTTATAGATGAGAAAACCAAGGCTTCTATTTGCCCAACTTGTTGTAAGTGAATCTATACGTGTGATAAAATTTCAGAAATGACACACACACACAAACACACGCACGTAAATGAGTGCATGCATGTAGAAACTGGTGAAATCTGAATAAGGCCTGTAGTCTAGTTAACAGTATCGTACTGATGTCATTTTCCTGGTTTGATATTGTACTATCTTTACATAGATGTTACCATTGGAGGAGGCTGGATGAAAAGTACCAGCCAGAGATCTCACTGTATTTTTTATTTTTGTAACTTCTGTATTGTTTTTTCTATAATTAAACTCATATAGTTTTTAAAAAATAAGTTAAATAAGTTTTTAAAAATTAAATGTTTTTTAAAAGCTTGTAATAAGAATTATATAATTACACTGTGCCTAGCACAGTGGTAGGATACAGCTAGCATTTCAACATATGATAGTTCCTTTCTTCTCTGCTCTGGGAATGACTATTTTCATAGCTATATGATAATAACAACCCCCCTTATTGTGTTTATTATGTACTAGGCCTATTTTACATGCATTCTTTCGTTCAATAAAGCCCATGAAGTAAGTACTTTTATTATTTCCCTTTTGCTGATTAAAAAAAAACAAACGAAACAAAACTCAGGAAAGGCTTTTCTCAAGGACACCCAATAAGCCTGTGACTGAGCCAGGATGAGACCCCAGTCTTAGAACTCCTGGACCAAGGTACTTTCCAGTGCCCACACCCAGGGCTGCTCACCCACACAGCACACCTCACCGGGCCCTGTCTGGGAGATCACTGGTACTCACGAGCTGACCTATGGGTTCCTCCTCGTGTCTCTCACCAATCTGCCCAGCTCAGGGCACTCAGGGCCCAAGAGGGGAAAGTGGGGCCTGGGGAGAGTAGAAGCATGGTAGTCCTCCACTGCCGGCAGCCTTGGGAGCCAGGGTAGTTGGTTGGGGCCACAGAGAGGGCAAGGCAGACCCTCTGAACTTTGGCAGGAGTTGGGGTGGGAAGGGCGGGTGTGCGTGTGAGGGAGGGTATTCATGCGAAGCCCATGCTCTCGTCCCCCTCAGATTCCCTTGAATCACTTGCCCCTGAGCTTGGGGCACATTCCTGAAGGGGGTGGTCACAGGACTCCAGGACTTTTCAAGCCCTAGGCCAGTTTCTATTCCTCCTGGAACTGAAACCAACTCCCCCCCGTCGGACTCAGCACCTTGTCCTCAACTGGTAATAATAATATAGTGACTCACTCCTCTAATTCCTGCCCTGTGACCTCCTTGGACTTGGTAAATCAAAGTCCAGACTGGGGTTGGTGGGGAGGGCCAGCCTGAGTCCCATTTTCTCAGGGAGATGGATCCCAGGTATCTACTGGGAGATTGGACCCACATTCAGATGAGCCTGCTTGGCCCTCTCTCCCCATCCCTGTTGCGCTTCCCCAGCACTCCATCTCGCCAGGACGGTCGGCTGTGGACCAGGGCAAGGTGGAGGATCAAGGACCCTTCCTTGCCCTTCCACCTTCTTGGCGCCCTTGCACCCCGCCGTTCGGCCTACGGGAGAGGCCCTATCGATCCGGTCCGCGGGGCGTTGCGCCCTCGTGTGGCCATCAGGAGAAGCGCATTTCATTTCCCAGGCCCTCCCTTTCTATGCGCTCATTGAACAGGTATTTATGGAGCGCCTCTAGGTGCTTAGGGACAGCGATGAAGATGATAGATAAAATATCTGCTCCGTGAGAGGTACTTTCCTCTGTGTGTGTATGTGTGTGTGTGTGTGTGCGCGCGCGTGTGTGTAAAAGCAAGCAATAAACGATAAATAAATAACCAAAGCAGTTACTGGTAGTGATAACTCCTAGGAAGAAAATAAAACAGAGAAATGTGATGGAGAGTGACCAAAGAGGGAAACTTAGGGCAGGGTGAAAATGGAAGGTTTCCTTGAATAGATACTGTCTGCAATGAGACTCACATGTGGGATCCAATCATGAGAGGATCTGGGGGAAAGCTTTCCTTGCAGAGAGAAAAGCTACTACAAAGACCCGTAGGCAGGAGCAGGCCTGGCAAAACAGACAAAGGCCAGTGTGGCTGGAAAGGAGTGAGCGAAGGGAAACTGATATGAGATGTGGTGGGAGGGTGGGAATGGGCTGATGACAGAGTTTAATTTTTCTTCTAGGAGTAATGGGAATATATTCGGTGAGTTTTGAGCACTAATGTGGCTCAACTGCCTTTTTAACGGACCCATATGGCTACTGTGTGGCACATGGACTTTGGGCAAGGAAGAGTGAAAGCAGGGAGGTTATTGCAAGAAATTAGAAAGCTATTGAAAGAATTCAAGTGAGAAATGATGGTGGCTTGGGTCAGGTAGTTATGTTGGAGGTGGGGCGATATGGTTGGGTGCTGAGTATAGTTTGAAGGTATAGCCAGCTGGACTTGGCAATAGCCCACATTCTGCTTTACTCGTTTAGCCCAGGAACTCCTTTACACACATGCACCCTAGCTGGGGGGCTGAGTGAGGATGGAGGAGGGGCAGACCCCAGGGACAGTTAAATTGAGGGATTTCCAGGTGTTGTTGGACAAAGGAATGTGAGACTCAGCTATTGTGTTCTCCATGAACTGCCTCCACTTTCCATCATTAGCTCATTTAATGGGCAGGGCCCCTGCCTGCTGTCTCCCTTACCCTGCCTAGCTTCTATAGACCCAGTTATTTATTAGGTCTCTGTTGTCCAGATGAGCGTCCTCAGGCTGTGTTGGTGACACCCAAAACAGGCCTGGGTGTTTGGTGTTTGTATGTGATACAAAGTAGGGGGCAGCATAATCTGGGGAGAGCAGTCCTCAGACCCAGGTTAACAACTTACTCCTGTTTATTTACACAAAACACAGTAAGGGCAGATCTGATCCCACAGAAAATGCACACAACACTTTGGTCCCAGGTTGGGCATTTTTTTCTGGAGAGCCTGGGAAAGTTCAGGCTAGCCTTATACTCTCAGGCCAGTGGGGGCTGGGGAAAGCAGGCAGGGGAGGAGGTGACCCGGTTGGCTCTGGAGTCAACAGGCCTTGCTCTGTTTGTGTTGTGCAGCATTGGGTAGGGAGGGGGGGCTACATTATAAATGCAGTCAGACTGAGAGTCCCTGGACTCAGAACCTAGGACTGCATCAGTCCCAGAGGCCTTACCAGGATGAAGCTGCCAGGCCAGGAGGAGTTTGATGTCTCCAGTGCTTATGAAAATGTGCCCACAGGAGAGCTGGACAGTGGCCCTGGCTCTGGCCCTAGCCCTAGTGGCTCCTCAGACACTGAGAGCCGGGAACTAGGGGTAACCAAGGACCCTCTCCTCTTCATTCAGCTGAATGAGCTGATGGGCTGGCCCAAGGCACAGGAGTGGAGGGAGACAGGCAGGTGAGTGAGACCCAGGCCAGTTTTATGGGGTCCTTTCTCTCCGCAGCTGGGGCTTCCTCCATGTGTCCAGCGCTTCCCACGGTATGGGGTGTCCTTACCCCCAATCAGGAGCTCCCGTCTGTGTCCCCATTTCAGGCCCTCATCTTCCATAATGCTTGATCTTCTCTGCAGTCTAGTTTTGAGTTCCCTAAGACCCAAGACGAGGGGTGACTGTCCGGGGAGGGGCATACTCTGTACCACTGGGCCCACAACTCTCTCACTGCCTTACCTTCCCTGGCTCTCCTGTGTCCCCACTTCTGGACCTGGGAGAGATGCCCCCAATAACACGGTCCACTCCTCTCCACCACAGGTGGGTGCTGTTTGAAGAGAAGCTGGAGGTGGGTGCGGGCCGGTGGAGTGCCCCCCATGTGCCCACCGTGGCGCTGCCCAGCCTGCAGAAGCTCCGCAGCCTGCTGGCCGAGGGCCTTGTCCTGCTGGACTGTCCAGCTCGGAGCCTCCTGGAGCTTGTGGGTATGTTGGGAGCCTTTGAAGGGAGGGCCTGGACAGCCATGCCACCATTTCTCTAAGAAAGTCTTGGAATTTCCCCCCAAAGTCTTGGAATTTTCCAGAGCCTACCACATCTACCTTAGGGATTACCCATCCCTGTCATAGGGGGAGATGAAAAAACAGTGAGGAGCAAGTTCACTGGCCTCTGTGTTCCCAGGGCAAGGGACCTGGGCAGAGGGGTCAGGGGAAGAGTTTGGGGGCAGGAAGCTGTCAGGAAAGAGTTGGAGCTCCACCTCTGTTCTCCAGAACAGGTGACCAGAGTGGAGTCGCTGAGCCCGGAGCTGAGAGAGCAGCTGCAGTCCTTGTTGCTGCAGAGACCCCAGCACCTCATCCAGAGCACAGACACCAGGCCCTGTTGGGGTGAGAGCCCCCTCCCTGAGCTCAAGACCAAAATCCCCAGGGTGGGAGGGTCCCAGATCTCCCCTGCACCTTCCTGGACCAGGAGTGGCCTAGCCTCAGCTCAGACCTCAACCCAGGACTCATGGGCAAGAGGAAGTGGGGGTGATGATGAGGGAAGAAGAATGGAGAGGCTAGAATCATAAAAGCCAGAGCTGTGTGAAGGGGTGTTCTTGGTAGGCACTGTGCTGGGAGCTTCGCATGCATGTTTCATTTAATCTTTACAAGCACCTGTGAGGTAGTACCACAATTACCCCCATTTTAGTGATGAGAAAACTGAGCCTCGGAGTGGGGAAGGGTGCGCTCCAGTTTTCACAGCTTGTCAGTGGCAAAGCTGGTCAGGAATCCTTGGTGGATCCAGTCCCAAAGCCTGTGTTCTTAATCACTGCAAAATCCCCATTTGAAGGGTCTGCGCATCCAAGAGAGCCTTCTCACGATGGGGAAGCTCCCCTGAAGGAACAGGTTTGTGGCCCTTCCTTGGTCAGGGCTGGGAGAGGGATCAGACATTAACAGAGGCCCACCCTTCACTGGCCTTATCGATTTCCTGCCAACATCTCCCTCTCCCCAAATAATCTCTCACCTCTGTGTTTCTGTGAACCCCCATCCAGCGTCAGAACTCCCTGAGACAGAAGCTGCCTCCAGGGGCTGAGGTGGGGGCCGTGCTAGCAGGAGAGCTGGGCTTCCTGGCACAGCCACTAGGGGCCTTTGTGCGACTGCGGGATCCAGTGGTGCTGGGGCCCCTTACTGAGGTGTCACTCCCCAGCAGGTGAGGCAGCTGAGTGGAAGTCAGGGGTCCTGGAGCCCAGAAGGGCCTTTACTGGGGAGGGGATTAGAACTCTGGTCCAGTTCTCTCAGGATGTGTGGCGATGGTGCTCAGGGGTATGGAGAGGGTGGAGTGGTCAGGGCTGCAAAGTAGGTGTGCATGAGTGTTTGGGGGGCTGATAGGGAAGTCAAAGGTCATGGCTGCCCTATAGGATAGCAGCCTCTGACCCTCTCTGGGGCCTGGTTCCTTCTTCAGATTTTTCTGCCTCATCCTTGGTCCCCCCACACTGGGAAGGAGCTACCGTGAGATGGGGCGTGCAGTGGCCATCCTCCTCAGTGACCCGGTGAGCTGGGCAGGGGTGTGTGTGTGTCTGTGTGCACTTGAACACATAGGCTCATGTCAGTATGTGTGTGTGGACTCTGTATGTGTGGCTGAGTGTAGTAATCAGGCAGAGTGTGGCTTTGTGTCTGTGAGTGCAGGCCTAAAGTTTCCTCGGTTGGTACTGTAGCCTCCTTACCTTGCACAGTGCTGGCACAGAGTAGGCACTCAATAGATACTAAATGCATATACTAATAAATGAATGTTTGAGTGACTTTTCAGCCTATGTGACCCATGTGTGTCTAGTTTTGACTGTGAAAATGCATTTAAGAGTCCAGGTCTGCATTTACTGCCTCTCTATCCCCAGCAATTCCAATGGTCAGCTCGTCGGGCCAGCAACCTTCATGATCTTCTGGCAGCCCTGGACGCCTTCCTAGAGGAGGTCACAGTGCTTCCTCCAGGTCGGTGGGACCCAACAGCCCGGATTTCCCCGCCTAAATGTCTGCCCTCGCAGCACAAAAGGTATTTGGGGTCATCACGCCATACAGATCCTTCCCCACAGCCTTGGGCCCAGTTCCACTGCTGAGGAGGAGAGGGAATCCCAGGAAAGCTAAAGGGATTACTTACCTTTGAACTGGGAGCCCGCCGGCAGAGACACAAACAGCCGCCAGGGGGCAGGGCGCCATGAAGCCGGTGCCTAGTCACAGACGGGATGGAGATCCTCAGTCAACCAGGGTTCCCTTTCTCCTCAGGCTCCCCTTGCAAATGCAGGAGGCCACGAGCCCCTCTGCCTGGCGTAGGGCCGGGGTTGAGCACAGGCACAATCACATGCCGCACGCGCCCAGCCCAGAGTTGCAGCGGACCGGCAGGTGAGGCGAGCTACAGTGGGAGCAAGGGTCGGGGTACAGGGAGCAGTCCCAGGAGCACTGAGGTGTGTGCTAGAAGTGGGAGGGGCTCACCGGGCCATAGGGACACTAACGGGGTTAGGGGAATGGGGTGTGGGAACCTGGATCATTGACGACCCACGGGCGGGAGGCTGTTTGGGGGCCTTATCCAGGACGTGCGCCGGAAGGCCTCATGGTACCCCAGCGACTTCTCGGATGCCCTGCACCCCCAGTGCCTCTCGGCAGTGCTCTACATTTATCTGGCCACCATCACTAACGCCATCACTTTTGGGGGGCTGCTGGGAGAAGCCACCGATGGTGCTCAGGTGGGTGGGTAGGTGTAACGAGGCAGGCACAAGCTTTGGTGTCCCTCCAGCCATGCCCTTTGCGGTTCCCTGGGGCTATGGGTGGGCTGAGGAGGCTACCTGGAGGCTTGGGTTCCTGTGCTGAGGACTCCAGGGTTCTTTGCTGACAAGCCCTTTCGGCTTTTAGGGGGTGCTGGAAAGTTTCCTGGGCACGGCAGTGGCTGGAGCTGCCTTCTGCCTGATGGCGGGCCAGCCCCTCACCATCCTCAGCAGCACTGGACCAGTGCTGGTCTTTGAACGCCTACTCTTCTCCTTCAGCAGGTAGAACACCTTCACCTCCTCAGACTCACTACCGGTTCTTTGCTGACAAGCCCTTTCGGCTTTTAGGGGGTGCTGGAAAGTTTCCTGGGCACGGCAGTGGCTGGAGCTGCCTTCTGCCTGATGGCCGGCCAGCCCCTCACCATCCTCAGCAGCACTGGACCAGTGCTGGTCTTTGAACGCCTACTCTTCTCCTTCAGCAGGTAGAACACCTTCACCTCCCCAGACTCACACCCTCAGCCTGGGCCTGGCAGAGTCAATAGGAGAGAATGGAACTGTCTGGCTCTAGGGGCACCTGACCTGGGTTAAGTGGGGAGCAGAACAGTCCTGCCAAGCCCTGCCTGTCTCTCACGCCATCCGCCTTCCCCCCTAGAGATTACAGCCTGGACTACCTTCCCTTCCGCCTGTGGGTGGGCATCTGGGTGGCCACCTTTTGCCTGGTGCTAGTGGCCACGGAGGCCAGCGTGCTGGTACGCTACTTTACCCGCTTCACTGAGGAAGGCTTCTGTGCCCTCATCAGCCTCATCTTCATCTACGATGCCGTGAGCAAAATGCTGAGCTTGACCTATGCTTATCCCATCCAGAGGCCTGGCTCTCCTGCCTATGGATGCTTCTGCCAATACCCAGACCCTGGAGGTGGGTGAAATAGGGAACATGGCAAAATGAGGAAGGATGAAGAGGGAGAAGGGTGTCACCTTACTGTTCCCCCACCTCCATAACATTAAACAAAATGCTGAGTACTTACCCAATAACCAGCAGCAATCTTCTCCCACTCTGATTCTGAATCATGTGAAAAATAAGTCAAATGAGCAGGCCCAATATCCTCTTTATTTCTGACAATGCTGATAGAACATGGTTATATCTATGGGTGAATGGGCTTCCTAACAATGAAACCCAAGTTAGGTAGGCTTACGCACCTAGTCATGGCCACACTGGACAGGGACTGTCTTGCCCCAGAAGAGCAGAGTTAGATGTGTGCACAGTGCAGGCAGCTTACTCCTGAAAGAGGGGGAGAAAGGGGCAGGGCCAGGCACACCCAGCTTCTTCTCCCAAACTCACTAATCAAATAAATCACTGGTCTTCCCCTGGGTCTGAGTGACTGATCAGGTGGAGAGAAGCTCAGAGTATCTACACTTGAACACGTCCCTCCATGTGGAAGGAAACGCCAGGAAGGATACCTGGGGAAGAGGTATCCTTCCAAGAGTGCCAGGCTCTGTGCTGGGCATGAACAGGACCAGTTCTGGCACTGGTGGAAACCCACAGATTTGTGTGCTCATTGAGCAACCATTTGCATCTGCTCTCGCTTGTCCTGTGCTGGGCATCAGGGATACAGATAGGAAGGGAATTTGTAGGGGCAAGAGCATGAGACAGTGTCCTGAGGAGCACAGACATGGTAGCGAGTGGAGTCAGCAGATGAGTCAGAACTAAGGACTCTCTCTGGTTCAGCTGGACCCATGAGATTAAGCTCCTCAGGGGCTGGAGAAGGTTCCCAGGGGAGGGGCGTACACCCAAATTCTTCTCTGCTTCCCAGGAAATGAGTCTCAGTGGACAAGGACAAAGCCAAAAGGCAGAGATGACATCTTAAGCATGGTGAGTGCCTGTTCCTGAGAGTCTGGAAAAGAAAGGGTGGAGGCCAGAGAAGTCAGTGCTTCCTGGCTCTTTCCATCCTATAGGCTAGAGAAACCCGCAGAGGTCACTGAGGCCCAGACATCTGGTATGGCTGGGGACCCTCTGTCCTGGGGCCTTTGTATCTCAGTGGGCATCAGTGGATGTTTATTCCGCTGCTTATAACCTCATCCCTGACCACTCCTCCATACAGGACCTGGGCCTAGTCAATGCATCCTTGCTACCGCCACCTGAGTGTGCCCAACGGGGAGGCCACCCTCGTGGCCCGGGCTGTCACACAGTCCCAGACATCGCCTTCTTCTCCCTCCTCCTCTTCCTTACCTCCTTCCTCTTTGCCGTGGCCCTCAAGCGTGTAAAGGCAAGCCGCTTCTTCCCCTCTGTGGTGAGTGTCACCTCTCATTCTGTGGGTAAGGAAATAGCTCTTGGCAAGAAGAGGATGGTGGGCCTGAACCTAACTGTGTGTCCGCTGTGTGGCCAGGTGCGCAAGGTGCTCAGCGATTTCTCCTCAGTCCTGGCTATCCTGCTGGGCTGTGGCCTTGATGCCTTCCTGGGCCTAGCCACGCCGAAGCTCATGGTGCCCAAAGAGTTCAAGGTGAGCACTAGGAGAGGGGAAAGCAAGGCCAGCAGACAGGACTCTGGAGGAGGAAGATCCATAGGTCCCATACTTCTCTAAGCTTCCATTTCTTCACTCATAAAATAGAAATAGTAATGATAATGGCCTCACAGAGTTGTGAGGATGAATGAGGTCTTGCTCCAGACACACAGTGAGCACAGAATACTCGGTAGCTATTATTATATGTATGGAGTTAAGAGGATGGGTTCTGGTCAGCCAGCTCTGGGTTTGAGTTCCAGTTCTACCATTTCCTAGCTGTGTGACCTTAGGCAAGTTAACCCACATTTCTGAGCCTCAATTTATTCATCTATAAAATAGTTCCTACCTCATGGGTTATTTTGAAGTTTACAGAATATGGTGTCAGGCACTTATCACAGACCTCACTAAATGTTAACTATTGTTATAGGTCCTCCCTACTCATTCCACTACTCCCCACTCTCTTCTTTGACCCCGGATTACCTGCTCTGATCCAGTAAAGCTGGAGCTTCCTCCCCAGGCATGACAGTGCACAGGACAAGGCTTAGCACTGACTTGGCACCTAGACTTTGCCTGTGTCTTTGGAGACCTCCCCTCTGGCTTCTTCCAGGACAGCAGGGGGACTCCAACTGAGGCAGCCTCAGGGGCTCAGAACCTGAGACAGCAACTGGGGCCCCCTCCCCCACACAGACGCTAGTAATTCAGAGCAGACGCAGACACACCCAGCCCTGCCCCTGCCCCTGCCCCTGTCCCAGATTGAGGCAGGTCTGAGCCTGAGTTGCCCCACCCTGGATGTTGAGGAGTGGTGCTTAGGGAGGAGAGCTCTGTACACCAAGAAGTATGGGCAGGCCTCATCTACCACCTCCTCCTCTTGCAGGCAACGAGGGACCTTGAGAACCAAAGTCCAGAGCCCCTGGCTCCAGCCCAACCCCCAGGCTGGTCCCCCTCCTTCTGTCCTCTTTTAAGGCACTGGGGTGCTTTGAATCAGCTGTGTATGCACACACATTGCTCTCACCTAGCATCCGGGGTCTTGGGGGAGGGCTTGCGGTAAAGGGGGTTATGGAAGAATGCCAAGGCTACAGTGTGCAGGTGAAGTGCTCTTAGGAGACCCTCTCCAACCTGTCTATGGAATGCCCTCCCCCAGCCCACACTCCCTGGACGTGGCTGGCTGGTGTCACCTTTTGGAGCCAACCCCTGGTGGCTGAGTGTGGCAGCTGCCCTGCCTGCCCTGCTGCTATCTATCCTCATCTTCATGGACCAGCAGATCACAGCAGTCATCCTCAACCGTGCCGAATATAGACTGCGGGTGAGACTCTAGGCCCTGGACCAAGGGACAGAAGTCCCAGGGTGCATTCCAGGCTACCCCTCTCCCACCCCAGAGGGCTAGCCTGAGTTAGCTTCATCCTCATTGCCCCACCACTACCTGCAGAAGGGAACTGGCTTCCACCTGGACCTCTTCTGTGTGTCTGTACTGATGCTGCTCACGTCAGCGCTTGGGCTGCCCTGGTATGTCTCAGCCACTGTCATCTCCCTGGCCCACATGGACAGTCTTCGGAGAGAGAGCAGAGCCTGTTCCCTGGGGGAGCCCCCCAGCTTCCTGGGCATCAGGTGAGGCCAATATTCAGGAGGCTGGAATGAGAGGTAGGCGGCAAGGTCGGGTAGCAGGGGACAAGGCAGAGTTACCTGGGCAATTTAAATTCTAAGCTGGTGACCCCAGAGGGCTCTCTCACTGCCCCATGACCACTGCAGTGGGGTAAATGGGAGGGTTCTGGGCCCTCAGATGGGTGTGTCAGATCCTCCCTCTCCTCTTTCAGCCATGGGACTGGGAGGGCCCTCCAGAGGAGCAGCCAGGGCTGAGTGAGGGTGAGGTGCCACCTAATAATCCCCACGCAGTGTAGAAGTGCTGCACTGACGTTACAAAGTTAACTATCACAAAAATAATTTTGTAACTGTTGGAAACACAGTCTGTCCAAAGTATGTGAAATCAACTTTGTAAACTGAATGAAAGTCTTTATGGCAGTATAAAAATTGCTAATGGAGAGGCCTGGGACCCCCATACTGAAGTGCCCTGCCCCTTCCTCTCTACCAGTTTTTCACCAAGCTAAGCCCCACTCCCTGCCAGGTGAATATTGGGGGAGCCCTCCATTTCCTTCCTGCCAGGGTCTGTAGTGGTATCTGGCTTGCATCTCCAGCCTGGGCAGCGCAAGGCACCTCCCAGACCCTGGCTAACTCCTCCCTGTCCCCACAGGGAGCAGAGGCTGACAGGCCTGATGGTGTTCCTCCTCACAGGGATCTCCATCTTCCTGGCACCTGTACTCAAGGTACCTGTTAGACAGGCTGGCAGGGGCAGGGCAATAATAATAAATACAGTCAGAACCAACACTGGCTGAAAGCTTACTGCATGCCAGGCACTGTATTCAGTGCTTCATACTTGGTCACATTCAATCTTTACATTAACCCTGAGCAGCATACATCTTTTACAAATGAGGAACCTTGAGGCTGAAGAGGCGAAGTAGCTTACAAAGACCACCAAGAGAGCTAGCTTCTCAGATCTACCTGAGAACCCACACTCTTACCCAGTGGGCTTTCTACCCAGTGGACAGGGTGTAGGCATGCCACCATCCCCTGGGGGCCAAGCACTGCCCTGGCTCCAGCCTCCCCAAAAGCCTTAGTTTCAGAGTGTGATCCTCACACCCCAGAAAAACTTTGAGGCAAAAGCCCTTCACTTCTCCCTCACCAGATGTTTACAGAACACTGTTTTGTGTAAGGCTCTGCTAGGCACCTGGGAATAGTGGAGGGTAGTTACTGAAAAAGAATATGGAACCAAGCCTAGGTAAGCAACACATACACAAGAACAAAAATTAAGTAACAAGTAATAGCATAAAGGTTCAACAAGCCGAGACAGCAGAGCAGTCAAGGAGGGCATAGAAGTCATCAGCAGGAGCATGAGAGGTTAGAGGAAGGAAAAGTCATGGAGGCTGGGTGAGAGTGGAGTAGTCGAAAGAGCCAGATGGACCAGATCAGCTGCTTACTAACTAGGTGCTTCTCATTCAGCAGATATTTACTGAGCATAAGCCATATGCCAAGCACTGTCCCAGGAACTGGGGACATAGTGGTGATCGAAAGAGATCACATCCACGCCTTGCAGTCTGGTGAAAGGAGACAGATTAAAAAATAAATAAATAAATAAAATAGGAGAATCTCAGATAGTGATCATTTCTATGAAAAGTAAAAGAGGGTAATGATAAAGAGTGCCAAGGGTCTACTTTAGATTGGATGGTCAAGGAAGGCCTTTGTGGGGGATCAGAGATGAGTAGTGAGAAGTCGGGGCATTTTAGGTGGAGGGAAGTAGCAAAGCAAAAGGCCTTGCAAGGGGCAAAAATAAACTGGGGCACGTTGAGGGAAGGAAAGGAGACCAATATAGCAGGAACAGAGAGTAGAGGGGAAAGTGATAGATTGGAGAAGTCGGCCAGATAATGGGCAAGTTACTTAGTCTCTCTGAAACCCAATTTCCCCATCTGTAAAATGGAGACAATTATAGAATTTACCTCACCTGACCAACTGAAGATTCAATGCAAGTGGGAAAGGAAGAGATAAACCTGAGTAGGCTTAGATGCTGGGGTTGGAGCCTAAGGGGGCAGGGGTACCTGGGCAGCTGGCAGAGGTGAACTCCTTTGCCACTTCCCCACTTCTTTCTACCAGTTCATCCCAATGCCTGTGCTCTATGGCATCTTCCTGTACATGGGGGTGGCAGCAATTAGCAGCATCCAGGTGAGCCCATCAAAATCACCACACAACCTCCCTTCTCCCCGCTTTTTTTCTTGCTTGTACTTCCTGCCTACACTTGTCAATTCCCTTCCTGTCCTCTTTTCCTGTTTCTCCTGGGTACAAGGACTCTGCTGTCATGCTCTGGGTGAGGAGTGGGTCAAGAGAGTCTTCTGACCACCCCCAATGCTGGTCTTTAATAGCTAACACCCGAGTACCCTGCTTTCCACCTCTTCTTGTTCCCCTAGTTCATGAAGAGGGTGCAGCTATTACTGATGCCACCAAAATACCAGCCAGACCTCCTGCTCTTGAGGCATGTGCCTCTGAGCAGGGTCCACCTCTTCACAGCCATCCAGCTTGCCTGCCTGGGTCTGCTTTGGATTGTCAAGTCTACCCCTGCAGCCATCATCTTCCCCATCATGGTGACTCAGGGTTGGGTGGTATCCTGGGGGTTCCTGGGAGACTCGGAGCCTGGGAGGGTGGCCAAGGCCTCCATAAGAGGAAGACTTCCCTCTCTCATTGGCCCTGGCCCTCTGCATGGTTGGGAATCCTAGGACAAAGAAAGATGGCTAAGAGATGCCTACAGGTGGGCTCATCCTGGGATACCCGATTCAACTCCCTTCTCAACCTCTTTGGGTTGATCAACCACAGGTAGGGATATAAAGCCCAGAAACAAACAAACAAACAAACAAACAAACAAACAAACAGAGGCCCTGGAAAAGGCAATGCTATCACTTTTGTTACTCAGTGAGGTGATAACATAGGTGGCTTCTGGCCTTGTTCTTATTGAGGAAATTAAGAGCCACAGGTTTTGCCATAGGACCAATCTGGTTATCACAGTCGAGGGCCTCAGTTTCCCTCTCTGCGCAATGGGAATAATTAATATATCTAGGAATGTGTTAGCATTCAATGAAATGATACACAATGCCTGGCACATAGGAAGTGCTGAATAAATGTTACTGTTGTGAGTGATCCTGCTGCTGTTGCTGACAGCCCTGGGCTTTGTTTCCATCCCTGCAGTTGCTGGGCCTGGTGGGGGTCCGAAAGGCACTGGAGTGGGTCTTCTCACCACAGGAACTCCTCTGGCTGGATGAGCTGATGCCAGAGAAGGAGAGGAGCATCCCTGAGAAGGGGCTGGCGCCAGAGTACTCATTCAGTGCAAGTGACAGTGAAGATGTGAGCTCCAGGATGGGCCCTCTCAGGAGACGGGGACAGGGGTGGGGAGCGCGCTCTCATCTGGGAGTTGTCCCTAAAGTCTAACATCTCTATTAAGCCTGAAGATCTGATCAATAGTCACTCCCCTTCACTCCGTATTGGCATAGGCACACTGAAGGTGTGAGGGAAATCTTTCTTCTTAGGGCCGAGGGCCTGGTCTGTGAGCCCGTGGGAGTGGAAAGGACTGGGCCACAGCTTTAGTGGGCTGTCTTTCTCAACCCTGATCTTTGCCTTTGTCTTAAATGTGGGTATTTGTGTCCTACCACTTTCAGGGGCCCTTTCTCTCTGCTGTCTCTCTGTCTCTTCTCAACTCATCTTGGGATCTCTGTTCCACAGTCAGACCTGATGTATCAGCCAAAGGCTCCTGAAATCAACATCTCTGTGAATTAGCTGGAGTCGAAGTCTGGGAGTGGAGTCTCCAGGAAATTGAGCATGAGGTGAGGGTGTGAGGGACATGCCCCTGGCGTCGAGGGTGAGTGTGGGTGTGGGAGCTCAGACCTTGGAAACCGCCACTGTTTTCTCTTCATGCTCCAGTCTCTCATGAACCCAGAGTCAGGGAGGGGTGTAACAGCCTCTTCAAAGGGAAGAAAGAAACAAGTGAGGGTACCTGGGCTTGGCTCCCTGCAGCACTGAAGCCTGGCCAGTAGAGGGAGCGCAAGCTCACACCAAACAGGCTGTGGAGCTGGGAGGTGGGGATGGGAGGGGTGTGATGACAAAAGAATGGGATGGAGAGGGAGAAGGGAGAATAAATCTCCCTGTTGCTTTCCTTTGCCTTTGGAGGCTCCTCCCTGGACTGCTGAGAACCAAACTCCAAACAAATGGAGAGATTCTCTCTCGCTTGCCTCTTCTGCCATTCTGTCTGGGCACTGGGACTCTGCTGCCATGCTCTGGGCGAGGAGGGGGCCAAGGGGGGTCTTCTGATCACCCCCAATGCTGGGCTTTAATAGCTAACAGTGACACTCTCCAGACTACCTATTCATCCATTTATCTGAGTACTTAGGGAGTATCAAGGTACTAGAGATACAGTAGTTTAGACAATCATGGTCCCTGATCTCAGGAAGTTAAAATTCTGATGAGAAAGGCAAATAGGCAACTGTTAGAGTGGGGTAGTGTGGGCTACAGGAAAGCACAGGCCAAGTGAGCAGAGGCCGCTAAGCCCTTCTTAGAGGGCGGTAAAGGTGGGGTGGTGGGAGTTGGCAAGGCTTCCACAAGGAAGTGGTCCATAATTTGAAATCTGAAGAATGAATAGAAGCTAGCCAGGACAAGCTGAGGGCACAACATGTGCAAAGCCTGGAATTTTCCCCCCTTGATAAGCTGAGTCACAGAACATCCTCCTCTCCATGCATCTCTGAGCCCAAGAGCCCCACCACTTGCAATAGAAACTTCTGGAGGCTAGAGGGAGAAAGGGCGAGTCAGCAGCTGGCCCAGAACAAGATCTCCTGGGCTTTGCTCTGTTCTTTGCCCTACTGTGTCCCTGAACTCTTGCTCTGACTCCACCATGCCTTCTCTCAGTTCACAGGTGTTTACTCAGGAAGTCAGGACATTGTTGGCCTTTCGCTTAACTGCCAGATGCTCAATCAGCTGGGAACCTGGAACAATGGGTCAAGACTGGAAGGCAGCTGGCCAAGACCTCAGTCACCCTCCTGAGCTGGGGCGGAGAGTGACAGGCAATAAGTAGGTCTGCTTTGTGATTAGGAAAGGCTGGTAAGCCAGAGGAACTGACCAGGTCTCATTCACTCTCTGCCCCGTTAAAGGGACCTGAATCTAGAGGCCCTTCCCATTTTGAACTTTCTGCCCTCACAGATTCTCTTTTACAGAATTGGGGGGTTGTCAGGGAACTCTTTTTGGCTTGCGAAAGGGAGAAAAAGTCCCCCTTTCCAAAATAAGTATTCCTCTATTTGAAAGTTTTTTTCACATATAAAAATGTTTTTTAACCACAAAAGTAAATGAGATTACTGCAAAATACTGAAATCTACAGAATGTATAATTTTGAAATGGAAACCATCCTAGAGATAACCAGTATTCACACTTCAGTGTATATTGTTCGGATTTATTTCAATGGACACATGAACATTTTTATTAAAATGGGATTACACTGTTGAGTTCTACAACATGCTTGTCCCCAAATATGTGTTGGATATTTCCCCCAAGTCGGTATATATATATCTACCTCTTTCTTTTTGTCATCTGCATAGAATAACCTTGTGAATTGAAAAAATGTCATATATACAAGAGTATAAAAAATGTTTTCTGCAAATGCAAGAATTTCTCCAGAGTATATATCCCGGAGTGAAATGAAAGAGTAACAATAAAAGGAACACCTGTGTATCCAGCACTCAGGATATTTCTGGTACTTCAGAAGCCCTTCTGCAGTTTCCTCCCAGATTCCATCCTCAATTCTAGGTAAACACTATCTAAATTTTATGGTAATTATTTTCTTGCTTTTTGTTATAGTTTTAGTATCTATTTATGTACCCTATGTATTTATTTGGCCTATTTTTGAATGTTATATAAATAGTATCATAGCGTGTGAATTCTTCTGTGACTGCTTCTTTCACTCAAAATTGTTTTGAGAACCAAGCATGTGGGTGTGGGCAGCTGTAGTTTGTCCATTTCCATTGCTGTGTTGCCCTCCACAGGCCGACTCTACCATAGTTTAAATAACCACTTTTCTGTTGACTCACCGGTGAGGCCCTCTGAAACCTGGTCCTTGCTTCATGGAAAATTTAAGTTGATTCAAACTCTAATGGTTATAGGATTTTTTTTAATTAAAAACTTTATTTTTTTTTAGAGCAGTTTTAGGTTCAAATTACAGGATTCTCAGGCCCTTTATTTCTTCTTTAGCTAGTTTTGGTGAATAATATTTTTCTAGGAATCTAGTCATTTTATTTCAGTTTTCATATTTATTGGCATAAAATTATTATAATCCTTCCCTGCTTAATCTATGTAGCACATTTAGCTATTTAGGTATGGTTCCCTTATTATTTTTAATGTTATCATACATTCTCTTTTTTGTTCTTAGTTACTCTTGCCAGAAGTTAAGTCTATTTTATTAGTATTTTTCAATAACTACCTTTTGGCTTTGTTGATCTTCTCTATTGAATTTTTTTCTACTTCATTAATTTCTGCTCTTTATTATTACTTTCCATTTTATTTGGATTTATTCTGTTGTTTTTATAACATTTTAGCTCATTATTATGAGCCTTAGTTATCTCCTAATGTAAGCATGACTGCTACAGATTTCCTTCAAAGTACCACTTTACCTGCATCCCACAGTTTTGACATAGTATTCTCAATACCATTTATTTCTAAGTATTTTCTAATTTTTACTATGAATTCCTCTTTGACCCAATAGTTAAGTATATTTTTAAAATTTCCAAACTTATGTTTCCCACCCTTTTTGTAACTGATTTCTAACTTAATTACATTTAGAGATTTGTGAGGCTAACTTTATGGCCTGGCATGTGGTCAATTTTTGTATGTGTTCCAGGTGGGCTTGAAAATATTTATTCTCCAATTTTTGGGAGCAATTTTCTATCTATTTCTTAGGCCAGCCTACTAATTGTGCTGTTCAAAATGTTCTATATATTTCATGACTTTTGGGGGGCCTGTTTGAACTATCAAATACTGGAAGAGGTACATTAATGTACCTACTATGATAATGAATCTGTCACTATCTCCTTGTAGAGTTCATTTTTGCTTTTATGTATTTTTAAGAGCTGAGTTATTGGGTGCTTTCTAGTTTAGAATTGTTTTATCTTCCTGGTTAACTGATCCTTTTATTATTTTGTAATGGTCTTACTTTGTACTGACCAGTAATGCTTTCTGCTTAAAACTTATTTGGTCTGCTAGCAATATAGTTAAATCAGTTTTCTTTTGGTTAAAATGTATCTATATTATATATTTACATTCTTTGACTTTTAGTCTTTCTGTGTTCTTATATTTTAAGTATATCTACTATAACCAGCAAAGAGCCAGATTTAGGTTCTTTTTTTAATCCAGTTTGACAATCCAGCTTTCAGCTAGAGAACTCAGTACATTTATTTACATTTAGAGTAATTGCTAATATATTTGGTTTTATTTTTATTTTTATTTTTTTTTATTGTCCTGTTTTCTGTTTCTTTTCCCTTTTCTGGCCTTATTTTGAGTTGATTTAGTTATTTTTGTCTTTTTTCTTTTCCATTTTCCTCCCTCTACTCATTTGGTAAATGAGAAAAAGGGAAGTCAAGGATGACTCCAATGTTTTTGGCCTAGCAATAGGAAGAATGGACTTGCCATTGACTGAGTTCATATTTGGGAATTTTGCATATGATGCCTTTTAGATAGTCAAGCAGAGATGTGAAATAGGCAGTTGGACATGCAAATGTGAAGTTCAAGGGGGAATTCAGAATCAGAGATCAAAAAATTTATACCTTAATTAGTATCTAAATTATATTTAAAACAGACCAGATAAGATTGCCAAAGGAGTGGATGTAGTTAGAGATCCAAGGACCAAATCTTGGAACACTCTACTGTTAAGAGATAGGAAGTTGAGGAGCAACCAGGAAAGGAGACTGAAGAGTGGGTAGTGACACGGAAGCCAAAACCAGGAGAACATGGTGTCATTCTTGAAATAAAAAAAAAAAAAACGTTTCAAGGGATGCGTTTCTGGTTACAGTTTGTTTTGGGGTCATCCTAACTCTTTACTTGTGTGTCAGTTCCTTTATGAATTTTAAAGTTAAAAATTATACTTAACCTAGCATTTTAATTGTTTTAGTTAGGAAGATTAGGAAAATTTAGCTAAGAAATTTTAATCCATAAAATGAAAGAAATGGAAATTCTGAATGTTATAAAGAATAATCCTAACATGGTAGTCGAAGTATCTACTGACTGAGAGAAATACATGCCAAAAGTACGTAAATTTAGATCACTGTATATTTTATTTATTTCAACAGCATCTACATATTGTTGAAAACATCTTTATTTAGACTTATTTATTTAAACATTCAACAAATACCTATTGAACATCAACAACATCCTATCAAGTAAGGTTTCTGACTTCATGGAGTAATAATACAGGCTAATGTGATAAAGAGGGTGGGTTTACATTATAGTGAATGAGAGAAGTAACAAGCAAAAAAAACCAAAATAATCTCAGACAATGGCAAGTACTCTGAAGAAAATCAAACAGGGTAATATGATAGGAACTGGTAGAAGACATTACTTAAGATGGATGTTCACGGAAGACCTGTCTGAGGAGGTGACCTTTAAGCTGAGATCTGAGTGACAAGGAACCAGCCAAACTATCATCTGCCTGCAGTAAAGGTGTGGTAAACATATACATGAATTTAAGTGCTCTACTGTCCCCATATTGTGAACCCCTGTCATAAGGAAAAGATTTTGAGGTCAGTACTGGCTTCAACCTTAGCCCTCAGTTTGCTCAGTTCAGGTCATATGAGCTTGAACTGGCTTTAACCCATAAGCTTCAGTTTTCTGTCAGTAAAAAAGGGCCGAGAGC